AATTTCAACTCAAACATATTGGTAAATCAGGAGATTAACCAGATTTAACGTTTTGGCTCTTGTCTCACGGGTTTTCTTCGAGGCTGATTTCCAATTCTCGTTCTGTGATCCGCAGCTGTTGTAGCGTTTAGAGCCGAGAGATAGGTTCGTCCAATTGGTGGAACGACATTTATATTCTGTATTGTGTAAGCACGTTGACACCTGCGGATTGGAGCTGCGTATTAAATGTTTTTTTGCATGATAATCTGTCATATGAGTAAATAGAAATTTGTGAATCTGAGACCATTAGCAGATCAGCTCTAATGAATGAACAAATTGAATTTCTAAATGCGCATCAATGCAACAAAGGGCCAAGTGCTATGAAAGTATGATATTCAAAGATTTCAGAAATACACTAAACATCAGATATGCTATAATCCTTTGGTACGCAATATTGCAGTTCCGTTATGTGATTTGTGACTGAAAATGTTTACATAGAAAGTTACAGTTTACATTCAGAATTTTAGCAATTATATTTTACTCTTCTATATTTCTGCGCAATAAATTAGAACGTATTTGTTTGACACGGTGAGCAATGAGCAGGGTGAACCTCTTAATTACTTTCACAATAATGAACTGTGCTCCTGCGTAATAATTCAACTAAAAATTTTTCAACTGTGGCTTCAGTTATTAGATAAATATATATATCCCATTACTGTGAAACTGATTCATTGTCTACAATCTGATACATTTTTCTTCACCTGCATGTTCAGCCTGAATTAAATGAAGAGACAGTGATGCTTCGATAATCAGCGTTTATTCGTTTGTAATTTGCATCTGTTCTACTGGTTTGGCTAATTTACAGTCTGTCAGGATCTTGTGTTTAGTATGGATTTGATGACTTTAGCAAAGTAGCATTGTGCTTCTCAGTGTGAACGCTTAAAACTTAATCAATTCACCTTGATTATCTTCATAGTACAAAAGAACCCACGATCCTACTTCAAAAATGGAACATCTTAACTTTTGTAGACTATGCTCATGGAATTGTCTGCTGAGAGTTCATTAAATTTATGCCTCCAATTTAACGGGAAGACTTTAGGAGATTTAATGATATTGAAACAACTGCATATATTATTGTGTAGGACAATCGTTGACAATCATGACAAAGAGACTACAAGAGATTTGACGTACCGTTAAAAGTTGCCAGAAATATGAATATTTTCAATGATAATTGCTGTTGAATTAACCGATGTCTCTGTTGTATTACTTCGTTAAGTTGAAGATTCGTTGTACATTTGAATTAGGTTACATATTGGCCACAAAACAATTGAGTGAAAAGCAGATAGACAGTTTATGATTATGCTGTATGTCAAAACAGCAAGTTTCTAACAAAGAACGCGTTGAGGACCATGAGTGATTAAAATTATGATTAAAAATCTAATCTAATAACCATAATCCCCTGTAAAGAGTTTTCAACGTCCGTTTCATTGATCGAGTGAGCAAGGTAGGCGAATCCCTGTCCACAGAGCACTTATTGTACAATGATCTTTCTTGGATGGCCATATGATTTTCACAGTATTCATCCATTAATTATATTTGCCCACTATAAATGCTTCGTTTTCTAACTGCATCAAATTCATGATATGCCTTCGTCGCTTCTGTTATGATTTGAGATGATTCATTTTACATGATTTACTGGATGTTGCAGCTGCACATTGGGCATCCTACCTTTTCTTGTCGTTGTTTACTACAGTCATCTCCTGTATAACAGTCAAGCTTGTAGGGGCAAGCGAGTCACAAGTTTGGTTATGCAATGAGTGCGGTGGATCTTTTCAGTTACCCCTGTTAATTGATCAAATCTTAGGCTGGCATCACGCCGAAATATTTTGTACCAGGATCCACCAGGTACCACGTTGAACCGGCGAAACTCTTTCGTTTAGCCGTACTTTATCACAGCATACTATTACATGTTGGGAGCGTACCGTTTTCCATAAAGTGAAAAGTAGGTGAGTTTTATAAAATAGCAGTTGCAAAGCGGTGCCTTGAAAAAACACTTTCCTGTAAAGGCAAGATTTCATTTTTAAGTGTACTGTAATGAGAAATGATTCAAACG